AGATAGATAGATAGATAGATAGATAGATAGATAGATAGATAGATAGAATGGTTAAAATGGAAAATGGTTATGCTTAACTGGTCACAAAAAAGTGTGAACAATAAAAGAGGGACATAAAAATATTACACTTGTTTAGAAAACACATTTATTTTTTGTATATATCTTTTGAATTGACATGCATGTTCCCATTAGTTTTTGTTTTGTAACTTTGAAATGTTGATGAAAAAGACAAACCAAAGGCCAAATGTGTGTTATTTTAATGAGTATTAAATGTGTTGATGACAGAAATGCTTCCCCCCACAGTTCCTGTTCATTGTTCCCCCAGCACCATTTCCTCAGGGAAATTTTCAGCCGTGGGACCTGGACAAGGATAATTACTGGAAACCCTAATGGGGGGTGGGGGGTACGTGCTGGTCCTAAATGGCCTTTTTCTTCTCATTGGGTTTGATGGGGCTGGTCCAGTCGCCTCTTTGCTCCTTCATTGGTCCAAGCCGCCATCAGTCTGATGAAACTAGGTCCTCACATCAAGTTTGAAACTTTTTTGAACCAGACGGAGGAGGAAGGGGAATCCAGTTACACCGAACAGCAGCCAAACTTGTAACTGATCTACCAACGTCGGACTGAAGAAAAAAAACTCTTAATAATTTAAGTTTGCGCCTGGTACACGGTTACAGAGCTACAGGAAGAAAAGAGGAAAAAAGGAAAGTCGAGGAGTTTTACGGCGATACTCCACTAAACAAGGCGGCTTTGCAGGGTGGGAAACATGTTGTGAAGCGACTTCCCCGGGCTGTGTCTTTGCAAGGATGAAGACTTGAGCCGCGGTTGTTCACATTAACTTGTCAACTCTCTGGCGGACCGCTGCCGTGTCTCACCGGAGCGAAGAAGAAGAAGAAAACAGAAGAAGAAGAAGAAGAAGGTGAGCTCGCGCACCGCGGTGATATTAACGGTTCACAGGCTTTTAATGAAACGTCCTCCGACTGTAACATCTCTCAACGAGTGACAGAGGAATCTTCTAGAGGCCTGGACTCAAATCTGTCCCGAGTTACTAAACAGGCCGCTAAATAAAAAGTTTACCTCTAAAACTAGCTGGTTAACGGTTTATCATTATGAGGTCCTTTAAAAAAACTTTATTGACTCTGGAACACAGAACAAAAACAAACAAAACGACGTTAGCCAAGAGAACTGCACATAAATGTAATATTACTGAATGCAACAACAACAAAATTAAGCCAAACTCCAACATGAGAACACATCGTTGTAGATGTATTGCTTTTGATTAATAGGAATATGAATTGAGTGCATGTATTGATTAAACTCAATTAAAAAAAAAAAAACTAATTTTGGTTCAATGCTCATAATCCAGGTAAAACATTCAACCAAGTTCAGTCAGGTCATCTGGACGGTTTCTTTTTTGCTGAAGGGCGAAACGTCTCAACAACATAAAAAAGCAACTGTCCAGATGACCTGACTGAACTTTGTTGGACAACTAAATTAGGCCTTTTTTCTAAAAACTGTCTTTATTTGAAATTTGACTTGGGTGATTTGCAAATTATTGAAAATTTTCTTCGGATTATTTTTATTCTTTTCATTTTGCTGGAAGACAAACTACATGTTTTCATCCATCCATTATCTTTACCTGCTTCTTCCTTTTCGTATCGCGGGGGTCACTGGTGCCCATGTCCATCCAGGTCTCCAGTCCATCACAGGGACACTTAGAGACAAACAGCCTCACTCACACTCACACCTAGGATCAATTTAGAGTTACCAATCAGCCTAACATGCATGTTTTTGGTCTGTGGGAGGAAACGGGAGCACCCGGAGAAAGCCCACGCATGCACGGAGAGAACATGCAAACTCCACCCAGAAAGGTCCCAGGCCGGGATTTGAACTGGCAAACTTCTCGCCGAGAGGCAGCAGCTCTACCAACTCCACCACCCGTGTTTTCAGAGTAATTAAAAGTTGTGGGATGTTTACTGAAAATGTTTCCGTATCATATTGGAATGAGGACACAACCAAAGCAACTGAGTGACAGATTCTGGGGAGAGATCACAGAAAATATAGTTTATAATTTTGTCTAATTTGAACTTGTTGAGTTAATTTTTTGCAGGTAAATCCTGTGGCTGTTTGAAGGACGATTCTTTGATAAGTGAGATGAAAATGATTTGTCAGAAGCCAGACATTTTGCCAAATCACGTCCTCTCCAGTTTGAAATGGCAGCCGGTACAGAGGGAACCTCCTTCTCAAAGAGTGATCTAATTGTTTAGTTATTGTTGCAAAAAAGAAAGTTAAGACATATTTTCCTACAGGGGAGTGGTACAAGTAAGAGTAGGAGCCTTCTGACCACAGACCCTTGGTGGAAGCTGTGCCTGTAGATGAGTAGATAAAGCCTGACTGTAAAAAAAACAACTTGTTGGGGGATTTCTGTACATAAAAATTACAAGCAAGAAAAAAATTCAACCCACTCTGGTTAGAAAACGTTTAAAGAGGAATGGTGCTCCACATGTTGGCACAGTTTTTCAAAGAAGTGACAAATCCAGTTTAAGACTTATTATTTTTCTGATCCTTTGTGATGTTATGCTTAAATAACGGACCTGATTTTTGATTGGTATGCCTAAAAGTTCTGGATCAGCCTTTATTAGACATAAGTTTGCATTGATTTGGGGTTTAGCTGGAGTCCAGATGAGCTGGACATGATATTAATTCATTTGATACCCAGTGAATGAATTTTGATCCTCATCTTTTAGGAACAATGGGGTATCATCAGCCAAATGCAATAAAGCAAGTTGTTTTCCAGTAACAGTTATCCGTTTCAGTGGACTGGTTTTCATGTGATCAGCCAGAAGCGGAGCCACTAAAGGAAGAGCGATAAAGGGAGATGGGACACCCCCTGTCTAACTCTTCTACAGAGTCCTTCTAGAAGGATTTGTTCATTTTGACATGTGGTGACATCATTCAGAATTTCTTCTGTCGCACAGTTGTTGTTCAGAACTGGAAATTGGTTGAAGTGTCAGAGTGTTCAAAAGGGCATCGATCGACGTTTGGCAGAAGTTGGAGGCTGCTCGTCACAAACTTCATTTGCACAGGCGCTTTCTTACGTATTTAATGGAAGTAGTTGGATTAAAATATTTTCACAAGACAACTCACCGAGTTGAACTATTTTAATGAGCGGTGTGTGTTTTAATTTGCTTGTAGTGAAAATACATTGCAGAATTGTTCTCTGACCCATTAAGTATGTGATACAAGAGGCTGCACATGTTTTTCAAAGCTGGTCCATGACTGTCACTGTAACAAAATCTGACTCTAATGTGCATTTAATCAAACTGTCAGAGCTTTACTAAAACATTATAACTTAGTGTTGTTCAAAAACACAGGCCCCATTTTAAAGTAAGAGCCTGCATTCTTTGAAGGAATGCATATCACCCGCTGCCTTTCAGGCCAAAGTTTCACTGAGTTGGAGATCAGACTTTCAAAATAAAGTGTTGTGCACAATCTCTTGCCATAGTGCCCAAAATTTACGTTGCGATTCACTCTCAGCTACTACCACACCAAGTCACTGCAAAATTATTACATGTCATTTTGTGTTTTCAAACGTCACTTGGCTGTGACAGCCGACTTAAATTGGATCGGCTCCAGAAATTAATCAAATTGTGATGATAATTCAGTTCAATTCAAAAATACTTTATTAATCCCAGAGGGAAATTATTTGTTGTTGTAACTCATTATCCTCATTTCATTAAGCGATGTTATAGATACTGATGGCTGTAGACAGGAAGGATCTCTTGTAAAGGTCCATCCCACAGTGGATCCTAAGAAACTGGCTGCAGATGCCGTCTGATCCGTCCACCCAGACTCGGCTGGCCTCTTGGTTCCCCCGGGCTGTAGGACCACCCGAATGCCGGGCAGAACTCCTCCCAGAGCGATGGCCACTCCTCCCAGCAGTCTGCTGAGCTCCTCGTCGCTGCGGACAGCCAACTGTAGGTGACGAGGGATGATCCTGTCCCTCCACTGTCACGAGCCGTGTTTCCTGCTAGTTCCAGGATCTCAGCGGTCAGGCACTCAAGCACAGCTGGCAGGTAGATGAGAATGCGTCCACAGAACATCCTTTTCAACTCATTTGAGATTTGTTGCTGTAGTTGAGATATTATTTGAGCTTTTGAGACGTTAATCAGCTGCTGTTGGTTGTAGAAAACTGCCTTGTTGCCATGGTTACGCGTCATAACAAGTGTCCAAAACTAAAAAAGTTTCAGTAAAAATCCTTCCAGCTGCACAGCATCTGATACCAGAGGAAAGAATCATCCAAAAAAATGTGATTTACATCCAGAAAAAGAGGAAATAAAGTTTCCAAAAGCAAAATCTCAGAATGAAAGTAACAGAGCTGCTCCAACATGCAGCCACCTTGAGCGGCGCAATTCTAGAACAATGTGCTGTACTTTTTTTGCCATTAACTTTTTGGAGTCAACTCTTGTCTGCCTGTTAGCAAAATAGCTGATGAACCACTGGATGGATTTTGAAGGAAACTTTTAGGGAATAACCACTGGATGTGCATCTAGAACTGACCACTTTATGAAGCATGGCCACCACAACCAACTCAACTTAAAAACACAAAAATGTCCAAATCTGTCAATTTTACAGATGTTCTGCTTCAGTCTTATGTGCTTACAGCTGTGAGTCATTAACACGCTCAGTGTGGGACGTCTCTTGTTGCACAGCGTTATTTTCAAGGTTTGACAATAACGGCTCCAGCTCCAGCATTTTACACCATGAGATGATGTTAGATTCAACTCTGGCACAACATTAACACAAGCCTAGCGTAAGCAAAGGCTTAATTTCTTGCATTTGTACGTACACTGTCTGAGTTAGACAAAATCAAGCATGAAACACTCTGAAAACAAAGTTAATGTTTAAAGAAACTGGGATGGTTTTCTGTGCGTGTCTTTATCAGGTCTAAAGAAATGCTGAAGAAAAGTAATCTGATTTTCATCACTGCTTTAAACACCTATTCATCCTGCTTGTGCATTTTGGAGCTTATCCATAGTTTATTCAGACTGAGGCTGCAGAGGACGGAGACATATGTTAGGCAAACACCGATATGTTTTGTAACACATGGCTGTGTTCGTGTCGTGAAGGTTTTCTCCCTCTAACAAGGTCTGTGTGGGAATGAATGGCCCCTCTGTTGCAGATGGGGCTCTGGCAGGTAGTGCCACACATTATCATGCACAGCCCCGACAGACGTGTCAAATGAATTATGGACTGGGGTTTTAGATTCTGGGTTGGACTTGCTCCTTGCATTAGCCGTGTCAGTGGTGAAATGATGTAGCATTTTTCGACTTGCTCTCTTTTAGTTACCAGGAGGTCTGTTTGTGTCTTTGCGGTTGGCAGCAATATGTAAAGAGCAGAAGCAGATAAAACAAATAGCTTTTTGTTTGCGTGGATAGGTTTGTTAAATTCACATACCGTATTTTCTGCCGTACATGTCGCTCTGCCCTATAAGTCGCATCAGTCCAAATATGTCTAAAAAAGTGGAAAAATCCATAAATATGTCACTTCACCGCATACGTCGCATCTATTATGTGTCACCGCTGACGTGTCGCGTTTCTTACGCGTCACCGCTGACAACCCCGAAATGTGGGTTGAACCCTGAAATATGGGCTGGTGTTGTGACAAAAATCGATGCGCTGCTAAGTGGTGGCCGCGGGAGCATGCACAGGAGGACTTTAACAAGAATTTAAAAAGATTAAACCTAAAAACAATTATTTGTTTGCTCAAAATTATAAAAATAATAAAATAAAGGTGTGTCTCAGTCTAACGTCTGCTTAATAAAAGGACTTTAATGGTCAAATCAGCTGTATTTCAAATGTATTCTCTGCCTCGTGCTCCGGGAGCGTGAAGAGGGATGGGGAAAAAAAAAAAGGAGCA